GAAACCATTTTTTTGATACATAAAATAAACTTTAATCAAATATTGAGCATTAATATTGATGATTTCGTGCCATTCTTCTTCCAACTTTATTATGTCGCGTTCGTAAAACGTTTGGGGCTTATTGGTGACAAATTAATCTAGGTGGGTTTTGATGGTTTCATCATCCTTTAAGGTTTTTCCGTTCGTAGAGTTCTATAACGACTGCAATAAGTGATAATCAGAAGGAGTTAGGTGCGGTGAATACGCAGGATGACGCAAAACATCCCACCCTGGACTAAGCAGTTTATTCCAGATGGTCAATGACGTATGGGGTTTGGCATTATCGTGGTGGAAAACCCTTCCGATTTGTCAATTCTGGACGTTTTGTGCGGATTACTTGGTCCAATTTCGTTAACTGCGAGCAGTATATGATTGAATCAATCATTTTGCATGATGGTAACAGCTCGTAGTAAGTGATACCCTTGAAGTTCTATCATACGGAGAGCATGGTCTTCTTCAGATGCAATCCTTTCGAGGTTGTTTGCATCGGCTTGTTGTTTGACTTCCATGATCTCTTACACCATGGGCGTTTCCGCAACGAATCATATATGCGAGTGGCTAAATTGATCTCGGTTAATTCGCGCGGCACCCAAACATTAAGCTGAAAGACGTATCCTAGCTGACGTAAATGGTTTTCTATGCTTATATGGGATATATGGGATGTATGGGATTTGCAGAAAAGTTATATGAAATATAACTTTTCAAATGAGCAGTCGAATTGCGTAATAGTGCTGAGAAAAAAACAGTGAATCGGAATGAACTTGCACTGAAGCAAAAACCGAACGAACTTTTTTGCCAACTTAATACAATACAGTGTGTCCTAGCGTAAGGAGAACACCTAAATATCTTCTTTGTTTTTAATGTTATAAGAAATATATACACATAATGCACATATAAAAATATATGCACATAATTTCAATGGTTTCAAAGAAAGAATACCGTGAAAGAATTTTTTTAACGATTTCTTTTTCAAATTTTTTAAAAGTTTCCGATATTTTTTGCAGGAAATTATATGCATATTTTTTTCTTATGACATCTAGAATATGTTAACTCTTTATATCCTAAATTAATTTACCCAAGACCTTATTAAATTTTTGCGTAATTAAATAACTCTTGGCATATCATAAACATAAGATAGGAAAATTAATTTTGTAACAATTCAATGATTAAATTTTGACGTGGTATTTGTAAGTACCGACAGGAATGTAGGGTAAGACACGGAAAAAAGGTTCAAGAGCGCATATATAGAGCGGTACTTTGAAATACCGTTAGGATACAAAGGGTTAAAATATATTGAAGTATGTCTGAGTTATGACCTTGAGATAATCTTGAATATAAAAAAGTAGAAACAAATTCCAAGAGAATGTGAATCGCATAAAGTAGAACTTGTGCTGCTATCACGTCAGAAATAATTGAAAATTTTAGCAGGTGGGTTATTGCAAGGTTATTGCAGGTGGGTTTCCTAAACAGCATTTAGTATTGGGTTGGCTAATAAGTCCATGCGGTTTTTTACTTATAAATGATCGATGATTATTTTTATAGAAGGTAATAACTTTAATCAATTATATATTGGCCGTTATCTACTATCTTTCGCCATCTTTCGGGCAGCTCATAATTTCTTGTTCAAAGAACTTCCTGTCTTTCTGAGCAAAAAACTTCCAAGTGTCGTTTAACAGCTTCCTCACAAACGAAGTACTTTCCATTCAAGGAATTTTGAATGGAGCGAAACAGATGGTAATCTGAAGGTGCAATGTCTGGAGGATGTGGTAAGACATCCCAGCCTAGCGCCAATAATTTTTGCCGAGTTTGTAGAGATGTGTGCGGCCTAACGTTGTCATGGTAAAAGACGTCGCTTCTACGATTCACCAATTCTGGACGCTTCTCGGATCGCTGCATTCAATTTATCCAGCTGACTATAGTACACATCTGAATTGATTGTTCTGTTCTTCGGAAGTAGCTCGTAGAACACAACACCCTTCCAATCTCACCAAATTGAGAGCATGATCTTGCTCGGATGAAGCCCAGTCTTCGAAGTGGTTTGTGGCGGTTCGCTGCGCTGCCCCCACGATCTTTTGCGCTTGATGTTATTATAGACGATCCATTTTTTGTCGCCAGTTACTATACGCTTCAGAAATGGATCGATTTTTTCACGTTTTCCGAGTGAATCGCTGATGGAAATGCGTTGGATTAAGGGGCTATTCCGGTGTGACGACCCAAAAACTTACGCATCTTTTGACTTTTCTTTCAAAAAGTACTGCATATAACGGCATAAAATTTTTTTTCCCTGAAAGGTGTACTCTAGGAGAATAGAAAAAAATTGTTTATAGTAAAACAATGCATATTTATTTTTTTATTTACTCATGAATGGACACATAAATAAAAAAAATTATCTTGTTGGTGCAGGTGATTGGGGCCCTCCAGGTGATCTGAAATAAAAAATTTAAAGAGATTCTTAATCTGTATAAATGTTGCTATCGCCCGAACCTCAATTATTAATTTATATCATAAATTAACAAAATGGCGGCATTTTTTGCAAAGGTGTTTAAAAAAATACGTTTTTTTTGCGCCATAATTGGAACGAAAATATAAGTTAATATTAAAATTTTACCATGATTGAGGTTCAGGCGATAGCGACACTTATACAGATTAAGAATCTCTTTGAATTTTTTGTTTCAGACCTGGAGGGCCCCAATCACCTGCGGCAGCAAGATGATTTTTTTATTTATGTGTCCATTCATAAGTAAATAAATATGCATTGTTTTACTATAAATAATTTTTTTTCTATTCTCCTAGAGTATACATACACAGGGGAAAAAAATGTTATGCCGTTACATGCAGTACTTTTTGAGAGAAAATTCGTCAAAGATGCGTAACTTTTTAGGTCGTCACACCGGAATAGCCCCTTAAATGAGCTTCGCTCAGTTCGTGTGGAACCCAAACATCGAGACGGCTAAGATAACCAAGTTGATGCAGATGATTTTCCACGCTCGATTTCGATATTTGGAAAACATCTGCAATCTCCCGCGTATAGTGTAGATTAGTGTCGATTACCGCTTTCAATTTATCGCTGTCGATCTCATTTGGTTGGCCTAAACATGGTTTGTTTTTGATGGAAAAATCTCTGCAACGAAATCTCGCAAACCACTTTTGGCACACGCGTTCTTTTACGGCATCCTCATCATATATTGCATGAATCTTTTAATAGGTTTGCACCACGTTTTTTTTTATTTTTATTTTTTTTTAATAAAAAACCATAATATGCCGAAAATGCTCGTTCTGGTTATCCATTTCCAGATAACACAAAACACAAGATACGCAAGCAATATTTACGTATATTTTTTAAAATGCACGTTAAAATACTATCTGTCAATAACTATATGCTTTCAAGACTTTCGACTGAAGATAAAGCTTAGCAGAGCGCCTTGAAACCATCTATCGAGAAAAACCGCACAGACTTATTAGCCAACCCAATATAATATAAATCGTTTTTTTCTTTCATTTTACGCAATATATGAATACACAAATATAGAGAGACTCTGTTCCCAAAGAATAACTTGGCTTGACTAAGTTTAGTGTTATCTTAATTGGAAAACCAATAATAGAATTAAATTGCTCTTTTCAAACTTTATACAGCCTACAAAGTGTTTTCTGAACAATTTTTTGTGTGACGTTTTATTTGGCTGAAAAGTGATTAGGGCGATTAAAACAGGTCACCTTATAGCATACACAAATAGATATAGTAAAATAATTTACAAAATATGCATTTAGCTCCAGGATAATTTTAATTTAGGTTAAGGATATTTTATTGGATGTTTTATTAAGGAATGATTTATTGTTTCATGAAATAGTTTGTTTTCTTGCAAGTAGAATATTTCATATAAGAAAAAGACATTAACAGGATCATGTAATACTACTTTGTGATTAGCCAGCATAATTCCCATTTATATGGATATGTGTGATTATCGTTCGTGTAAATGAATTTTTGAGGTTAGCAATAATTAGAGTTAATATTTGTATACACTAAAATATAACTACTGGAAGAAGCATTGCTTTTATAAAATCAATAGGCGAAAAACGTAGCAGAGACAGATATATGATTTATCTTATAGGCTTATCTCTTTCTAATGAACCAATGCTTGTGCACAAGCATGGAAGTATAGACTGGTCCAAAAGGATCATATTTTGTTGCAATCACAAGCAATTCAGTACATTGCGAAGGAAAAATTTATATTAGTTCAGGCAGTGTATTTGAAAAGAATAGACCTACAGTTGTTTAGTTATTAGATACTTCTATAGTTTTTACTTTATTAATATTAATCAATTATGACATATGAAATAACAATATATTATCATGTTTTTCATCTCAGATAGGTTCTGCGTGTATATAATGGAGGTATATAAAGGTAAAATAAAATCTTCATCTGAAGAAATATTAATAGCTGCAATAACGGTGTTGCGCTATGCTGTTTCCTGCACTATGGCGTTCTTTCCTGCCTTATCTGACATCTCTTTACCTATGAATTTTTGCTATTCGTCAGTTCTAGTTCTGTATCAGTGTAGTTCCAATGCAGCACTAATTCTGCTGAAAAGAACAGACTCATAGAGACTTTATAGAATCTGTCTCTGCCATGCTTCGGCACGTTCAGTGCCTCTTTCAGTATAGTTCTATTTCAGTGTTTGTATTTCAAAGATGACGTTAACACGTAACTTGTCATTTTTTAAGCACTATCGCCAGCTATCGCTAATTAAACAAGTCTGTTTACGTGAATGGTAATATGATAATAATATGCATTATAATATTTATACAAGCCAAAATCATGTCAATCATAGAGTAACTGGTGGTCATGTATATTTGTTAGTGCTTTTTTCTATTCGAGATTCTAGTTGCAACTAAAAGTTAAAAGATTCTGTAGTATTTTCAGGTGAGCTGAGTGAGTTAAACTGAATTTGTATTTTTTCAGTCCGCTATAGAAATCCAGAATGGAATGAAGATTAAAGAAGAACCTATCGATGCAACAATGGATGATAACACAACTGACAATTATAAGTTTTTAAGGAGTCGTTCTAAACGATCTGATGGCGGCAAATCATTATTAATAAAAAAGAATGATGTACTGTGTAAATGTATAAACCATAAAACAGAAGATTGTGTAGATGATAATCGTTCTAAGTGTTCGGATGATTCTGGACTAACTAACACTATTAATCTGAAACGCAAACGAACAACTGAAAAAGAACATGTACGTAACATTTTGCCAGTACTTAGAAAAAAACGAAAACGTTTTGATGTCATTCGTTATGGCTATACTAATACTAAATCGACTAAAGGACGAGCGAAGAACGAAGAAAGAGAGCAACCTGTTATGCCAAAATCAAATATTGCGCGCAATACAAATAATAAAAGAGGAACCAAATGTAACGTGTGCTTCATAAACTTCAAGAGTTCTCGAAACCTTCAGCTGCATCAGCTATACTTTTTGAGAGTTGGAACATTGAGATGCAAGTTTTGTAGCAAACGTTGCAAATCGCAAGCAGAACTATATTTACACGTCATTTTGTGCCACAAAAAAGAGCCAGAACAATGTTGCAAAAAATACTGTCATTTTTGTAATCGTAGTTTTAAAAAAAAACATTATTTACAATCTCATTTGTTTCACGTACATGATGAGTTAATATATTCAAATAAAGCAATTGAAGTCGAAAAATCCGCAGTCGTCCTTAAAAATACGTCTTGTAAAAATACCTCGAAGAATTCCGTACATGAAGAATCACGTTTAAATAATCTTGATGAATCCAAAGGATTAAGTACCATTCTTATAAATAAGAGTTGTAAACAATCTTCAGATGATGGCACAACAAAGATGGATAAATTAATTGATCAGCAATCCAATCAAGAAACATTACTTACAAAAAAATTACGACAGCCAACATTAAATGAATACATCGAACTTTGCAAGAAAAAACGCGATACTAAAGATGATCTACAGCAATTACACATTATGAAAGACGGTTTATCTACACATGCTTCAAGTCATAACGAACAATTAGAAAATCTGAAACCAAAACTTTTAAAAGAGGCGATACATAATGGACAAATCCATACCTCGACTGAAAAATTCAATAATAATTTAGAACAAATAACATATGCTTCCACTTTTGAACAAAGTGAAAATTCTTGTGAAGAATGTCCTACCAAAGAACCTTTTGTAAAATTACATGCGGATGTTGAAATGATGAAGTGTTTTCTGGAGAATCTTCCAGACGCAAATGTTGAAAGTGAAAAGTTCCAAGATCAAATAAAAAACACAATGTTATCTGAACACGACATTCCCTATAGTTTACGACCTACGAGGGCTATTCGTTTTTTGGGATATTTAAATAAAAAGAACTTTACTTTTCTTAAGAAATCTCAACTTGACTTGAAAAGCAATACTAAAATGGAACAGCATGCAAATGGTGTGGACAAAGCAGATTTGGATTCTTCAAAAATTACTATGACTCGTCCTAAATTTAAGGATTGTACAATTACTTTGAAGAGATGTGATGAAAAGCTAAAAAATCATCCTGATTCTACAACTCAGATTACGTTTGAGCAAGACTTGATTTCCCCAATTACTGAGCCAAACTCTACATTTCAAAAGAATGATGTGAAAAATAATGTTGTACTCAAAGAATTGGAAATTTCTTTAGAACGCTTAAAAACTGAACAAGCTGAAGATAATCTGGAAACAGACATCGAGAAACAAGATGATGACAATTGCTTTACCTGTAAACTCTGCGAGAAGAGCTTTCCAACAAAAATAAACAGACGAATGCATATCAAGGAATCTCATATGGCATACATGTCAAGCATATGCAACGCACGATATACGTTGAAACATAAATTGCTTCAACATTATTTGCGCGAACATACATTCAAAGCAAACGAATGTTGTGTTTGTAATGTATTATTATCCGATACTGCAGAGCTGAAACAACACTTAAATTATCATTGTCTGAAATATTTCCAAAACAAAGATGACCAATATCCAATAAATATTGATGTAAATTGCTCAGAAAAAGGAACTTACACTTGCCTTAAATGTAATGAGACATTCTCGTCCCATTTATTATGGTCAGTGCATGATCGTTATTGCCCAATACAAGAAAAAGTGGATGAAGTTCAGAAGGATTCTACTACGGAGACGAATACTTTAGAAGTCACTCTTCAAAGTAACACTCTCAATCGCAACGATGTTGATACAAACACGGTTATACACAATAAAAATATTCAACATGTCTCACATGAGCTTCCAAATAATAAGCGCGTGGAAGAACCGGACACGATTCGAATAGTGCCAGTTAATGAAGAGCTAAGAAATAACGAAAAAGATATGGAAATAATCGAAGAACCTAACATTATTGAAGAGAATTTGAAAATTAATGAAAATGATGAAAATTTTTTTGGTAGGAAAACAATTTTTATCGTGGAAAATATTGGAATCTCCAAAGAATTACAGAAGCCTACCAAACATCCACAAACTGTTAATCCTCCAATCGTTAATAATTCCATAATCAGTGACCAAGATACTACAAGTGTCTACAGTCTACAGTCGAATTCTACTGAATCAAATGTTAAGACGTATCCATGTGATATATGTGGAAAGCGATTCCAAAATCAGAAGAACTTAGAGCAACATATACGCAGTTTCAGTCGTGTCACCGAGTTTTGTCCACTATGTAATACTGCATTCAGTTCGAAACGTTATCTACAATCGCACATTGCCGCGGCACATGTACCACAATTGTCAAAGAATTATGATTTTCACTGCGTATTTTGTAATCAAGGTTTCGTTAAGAAATATGATCTTCGACCACACGTGTTGCATCTGCACGGCCGACAGATGCTCGAAACAATTATGCCCAATTTCCGTAATACTCCAGGAAAAGATGACGAATCAAATAACGGTAATGCAACGTGCAGTGTGTGCAACTTAGCATTTGAGACTCTTGATCGTTATGTAGAACATAGAATGTATTATTACAAGAATCACAAGTTTACATGCTCCATCTGCTCGAAAGATTTTGAAGGCATGTATATGTATCATCATCATAACAAGCTTAATCACTATCCAGAGGATAAGCGTAAATCCTATATTTATACCTGCAACATATGCAAAGAGGGATTCAATCACGAGTTACATTTTTATTCACACAACATGCATGTTCATCCTGATGAAGCTAATTCAGCTGAAATTGTGCAACAATCTACAAGATATGCTCAGTCAGTAAATAATATGGAAGGAGATGAACAAGTTATAGATTTGTCTATGAATCAACAAAACAAAGCTCAACTATCGTCCACTGACTACATTTGCCAGATTTGTCAATTTAAATGTAAAAATGCTGATGACTTGAAGAGTCATAAATTATTCTACGCCAACGATGGTGATTTTAAATGTAATCTTTGTAACAGATTATGTAGAACTCGCAACGTGCTTGATCAGCACAAGAGTTTTACTCATATCTGTCGTGATGTCTATAATGAACATATGTGTCAACGTTGTAATGAAATATTGCCATCGATTACTTCATTGAGATGCCATGAAAAACATTTTCATGCTAATTTAGTTTCATATAGTAATACAAATAATTGTAAATACTGTGGTCAGACATTTTCTTCAAGTACTGAATGCAAGGAGCATCAATGTAAATCTACTAGTAGTAAAACCAAGGAGAAATACATATATCGTTGCTTTTACTGTGATATGAAGTTTGTTTCTCTTGAAACGATTCATAAGCATATTCTTCAGGCTCATTTTAGTAAGATCTTCGTTAAACATGTTGCTTCAAATCTGGAACTTCCCTCTGTTAGTAACGATAAAATTCAGAAGAAAACTATTCTGGACTTGGTAGACCAAGTAGTAGTGTCTAGGAAGAACATAATTCAATCTTTTCAACAATCTTGTAATGGTCAGAACAGTATTTCGATTATGCAGGATACACAAGATAAAGTTGCTATTGAACCAACACCAGAAGCTCTCAAAGCTTTATTCCTAATAGACGTTGAACCTAAGCAGAAGACTCTAAATTCTACATCAACGATTAATGGATCTGAAGCCACAACGATGAACTGCAACATAACCACAACGAGGGAAGTAGAACAGAATAATCAATCTAAAGCTATCACTCCAGTTCCTACATCCACTGAATCAACTGATATATCAACAAAAAATCATAGTTTATCTGATTCCTTCAACATATCTCTGGAGCAAATGTTAGATGGGCACTCGATTTTCTCAACTGGATCTGCTGACAAATCTAAAGCAACTTTTACTAATGTCCCACCTAAATCAAGTAATATATCTAATACTCCTGTTACCGCAGCTCCTATTCCTAGAAATGAAGAGATTATATTACAGAACTGTGTGTCAGTAAATAATACTACTGATTATTCTTGTCCATTATGTCCGTTACAATATCCGTCTTTAATGTATTTCCACGCTCATTTGAGATACGCACATTCAGATTTAATTCGAAATGATTTGATTTATCCACAATTGGATCAATTATCCGAGAAGATTCCTGTAATAGAGTGTTTATTGTGCCCACGTATCAGTACTGACGAGAAAAGGTACAAGAGGCATTTGCGTCACTCCCATTCATCTCACATGTATCTCACAAATTTTAAGGAGACTAAGAAGATCGTTGATGCGAGCAGTTCCTTAACAACACAAACAAACAGTAATAACAAAACCATAACGCCCGAAGTCATCACCGTGGAAGATGACGATGATGATGGCAAAAATTCCTTAGTTGAGCGAGCAGCTGCTGAAACAGCCGTAGAGAAAACTACCTGCGCTCCTAGTACAGGGAATGAAAATGTTGGTAAATTGAAAGTGAAGTCTTTTGCAAAAATTATCGAGAATTTAGCTATTGATCGTGCAAAGGAATTATTAAATAAACCCAACTAAGCAGCAACCACATTCCTATGAAATAGTTGAATAATTTGATCCCGACAAATAAAGTAGTAACAATGCACATGCATTTATTTCAAAGAATACGATCGAATTTTCATGATTTTAACTGAAAAGGAAACAATGCGAAAAAACGACAAGTTAGATGGATGTAGCAGTAAAGGGAGACTGAATTTCGAAGCTCTTACGATAACGCTCTACAACAAATAAAGAAACAAATTCAGTAGCATAGACATATAATATATCTAGACTGTACGTTCTTTTAAATTTCAAGAGGAATAGAAAAGGCAGTTGCTAATCTGAGCCTTTATTTTCGAAAATTTGTGAAAAATATCGTATATATTTCATCAATAGAGCAATTTAATTGGCTGAGAGTCGTAATATCTATTGACATTTATGAAATAACATATGCGACATTTTTAAAAAACACAGGTTCTGAGTCTGTATTTTCTGTATCCCTGTACGACAGTATAGCCGCTGTTAGCAACTGTCTCCCTTACTCCATTCCCATCGAGAGAGAACGCACAGACAAAACAGAGTGCATCCTTTTCTACGTCAGCTCTACCCCCCATTCCTCTAACACGCAGTCTAGATATATTGTGTTCAGTAGTTAGATAACCAGAGAATACAAACTCTCATCTTGAAACTATGGAACGAAAGTACCATGGCGCCACTGGCCCTTAGTGTTACTTCTTGTCGTATTAAAATGACAAATAATAAAAATATGCGGAAGATATGAGTACTTCAAAAAAATTTTCTCTTGTGGCCGAACTAAATAAACATAAAATAATTTATGTTTCGAATATGACCGAATTAAAATGGACGCGTCAATCTATGTAGCATCGTTGCACACAGTGGGACCATATGCTACTATCTTACCCAGTCAGAACCGTAACGTTGATTCGACATTGATTTGACGTTGAGATGGTCGATAAACCATTGATTCAACATTAATTAAATCCTCATCGAATTTATAAAATAATAATTATAATATAGTAGATATATCATAAATATAGATAATGTACTAGTAATATCCACATATTTCTTGTAGAATATCGTTTTTTGTATATTCACAGGATATTGGACTTGTCAGCAATATTCTGTTTAATTATAAAATATAAGTATAAAATATTGTGAGAAAGTAACATTTATATTTTCTGACAAAGTAATTTAAATATTTTGAGAAAAAACATCATTTCTAAGAGTATAAACGTTTTATATCTTGTATTCTTCAAGTTAATTTAAATGTAGTCTAATCATTGGTTGGTTAAAAATCTTTGAAAATAATCAGCATTATTACTTCGTTGGTATATATTATATTAATACCTATTGTATGTTATATTATCTATTGTAATATTATTTTCAACATTTGTCAACAAATATACTATCATCATAGTTTTGTAGTTTTTAAGTATATATTATAAACATAATCCATGCAAATATTGTTAGAGTACATTAGTATCATCAATTTGTGTATGATTATAAAAGTTCGTAATTAGAGTCGTTTTAAGTAAAAAATTAGTATCATCATAGAATCGAAACAAAGCGGCAGTACACATATGAAATGCGATAATGTCACACATAAATTATCACATTTATTGTTTATCTAAAAATGATCAGATTAATTTGTATTATTCTAATGGATAAAAAAATTTTAATGTAACAAAACTTTTAAATTCAAAGAAATAAAGAAATATTTGTCTTTGTATAATGTACTTTACATTATTTTGCGAATATTTTTATGTTTATATTTCTCTAATTTGTCTAATTTTATCTCTAATTTAGTTCGATCACAAATGAAACCAAAGGCCAGTACTGAAACTTATTTCTTTTTTTTTTCTAGAATCGAGTTTATATTCTCTGTAGATAACAGACACACAAGTTGGACATATACATTAATAACCGTTTACTACTGTGATTAAAAAGTATTGGAAATGGTTCATTTAAACTGCATGTGTGCAAGATGGTCGTTTTTTTCCAAGTTGATATGACTTTCATCAACATCTCAGCAGCAATCCGTATGTCATTGTCTGTTTTCATTTACAAATAGACACTTGTTTTGCCAAAATATTGGCATAAGTGCATTGCAGTGGAAGGGGATTATTTTGAAGGGGACGAAATAAATTTTGATGAATAAATTAAAATCTTGCATTTTATTGAACCATTCCCGATACTTTTTAATCATAGTAGTATATTTAAATTCTAGACAAATGGAATAGAAACAATATAAATTTTGTGGGGGATTAATTGTAAAATATTGAAAGTGTAACAAATATTACCAATATTCGTCGTACAAAAATTAAAACAATTATGATGAAGATCGATGATCGATTAATTACAATATTATTTACTTGATTATATAATTATTATATAATAATATATAATATACTTATTAAAAACAAAATTTTTTAAATTATATAATTAATTACATGCGATATATATTTCGTTATGCAATTAATGCTAATATACATATATTATATTATATATATATAATAAATAGTATATACATATTAGTTATATATATAATTTTACATGTACACACACACACACACACACACACACACACACACATATACAGGTACGCGCCTTTTATTTATATATGTATATATACATATATATAAACGATCAGTTAAAACCTCATTATATCCATCGAATACTAATAAAAAAATATTTGAGTTATAAATATAATTTATTTTATAAATGTAATGTTTCTGAAATTAAACTTACTAAAAAGAATTAGAAAAAATTAGTTTTTTTTTATGTTTTAAATTATATAAGTTATATTTACTTTTATATCTTAGCGTATATTGAAAAAAATAGGTTTTATAAAGAAACGTTTTTTAGGCTTTTTACTGCAAATATTACCTTAGGAGGTAGATAGAAGATATAGAAGATAAGTAGCTTAGAAGATATAGGTATTAGAATATAGATAGAATCTATATTATTATTATAATTAATCTTCATATTATTTCTTAACATAATTGGCTTTTCAAATAGCCAAATAGGCTTTTCAAATAGCGTAAAAATTCTATTATAAAAGAATAATATCTATATTATAAAAGAATGTGCAAGAATTTTATATTTACGAATTTTATTACATCAATGAAATATATTAAAATATGTATTTGTATTTGATATCTTTTATTTCTTTAATGTTCTCAAATTTAAAATTAAATTTAAGATAAGTAATAGCGATAAATAGATAACTAACTAAGCAGAACTGTTTAATATATATGTAAATATAAAAGTAAGTTTCTAAAAAATAAAAAAAATTGTATTTTCTTTCTCTTTTTCCTTTTAGAAAATGGTAAGTATAACGTATACAGTGTCCCAAAAGTGACGGACCACTCTAATAACTAATAACTCTTCAGTATTGAAGTTTCAAGGAAAATGATCTGAATAAAAGTTGTAGAAATTTAAGTGAGCTACCGTATGATGACCTTGACTTTGACCTTGACCTCTATTTTCAAGGTCAGTTGAAGGTCAACTTGCGTTTTTTAAATGGGAACCCTTATTTTTTATTACGCTGTTTTTTTCTACTAGTTAGTTTAAACATCTTTTGTATTTTTGGACAATTTCAAAATCATCAAATTAACAAAAATTAGGGCGCTATTGCAACAATATATTCTTAAGACTAAATAAAGCAAAAGAGTCTAGTATCACTTTTTCTTCCGACAAATAATTTGCGAGATATCGTAAGTTAAATATTGAAAAAGTTATCAAGTTTTCTTCAAATATCTCAAAAATATTAGACAAATAAAAAAATTTGTGGCAAAAGTTGTTTAAATTGACTAGTAGAAAATAATGTAATAAAAAATAAGGGTTCCCATTAGTAATAAGGGGTCCAAAAAACACAATTTGATTTTCAAATGATCTTGAAAATAGAAGTCAAGGTCAAAGTCAAGGTCATCATAAGGTAGCTCACTTAAATTCCTACAACTTTTATTCAGATCATTTTCCTTGAAACTTCAATACTGAAGAGTTATTAGAGTGTTCCTTTACTTTTGGGACACCTTGTATAAGTTTCATATATATAACTTGATATATATAATTTGATATTAATTTTTCATATATAATAATTTGATAAAAAACTTTGTCGTCGATCATAACGTGAGTTGAACATTTCTTACTTTGCAACTTTTCAAGATTCAATTTCGATTTTGGCATGCTCGCGGATAATGAATTTTTGTAAGAGATGGATTCCTTTAGCGCGATGTCACCATTTTGCTGAAGCATTCCGGATGGTAAGTAAAAAGGATGTGTTTTTTTAGGTATTTTGGGATCTGTCTTTGTCTATTTTCTTGCGAATCAGATTGAAAGTATTGATGCGCATTGCGGAGAGGCTAACCACAGGTGCGGTTTGTGAATTTTATTGCACTACCTAACCCGCGCGCGCGCGCGTCCGACATGGATTTTCACTACTCTCTGGATTGCCTACATCCGACGTTACGGCCGCCACCCTCGTAAAAGTCTTATAACGGTTTAAGAACTGCGCTGTAGGTGGCAGAGAGTTCATTCCTTACTGCTTACAACGTACGTCACGTATCGGCCTAACTTCTGCAGGCTACAATACTGTCATAAAGAAATTGTCAATTTTTAGATTACAATTATTTCCTAATAATATTAAAACTAATTGATTTTTTTTCTATCCAGAGCACTTCCAATCGTACGAATCTTTAGAATAACACGTCTAACAAAACAATAATAAAACTGATTTATAATTACATTGACCTGCTATTGGATTCCATATGCGAGATTTATTTCGCATTACTGAACAATTCTTTTCGTTCATCGAAAAACAATTACATAGTTGAATAGCAGTGGTCACTGATAGCACGTACACGCTTTGGACATTGAACGGTTCCGTTTCAATTTTTAATTTGCATTATAAACATCCGTGATTAACTTCACGTCAATGGACGTTCTGTGCTAATGGCACTTGTCGGATGTAATTATGGTGGCACTGTGGAGCGTTGCAATTTATTTACCAATCTGTGTGGCGACGCTGAGAGCAAACTGCGCTAGGACGTTAATTTGCGTCGCGATTAACCGATTAATTTTCGCCGTACGAAACGATCCGAGGAATCGAGAATTACGATCGAGAATAAATTTTCAGATGGGGAATGATATTCGCGTGGAACATTTTTTAACTGTGTAGTTTACTATATAGTTTGTTACCGTAAACTGCTTGATATATTTCAATTCGTAATTTAATTAATAGATTAATTTTCATGTAGCAAGAATATGCATTAAAAAAGAAATGATTTAATACATATGATAAATTCCATTATTTTTTTGTATAAGGTGTGTTCACGGAAAAAGTTGCTGAAACTAAACGATTGTCCCCTCCATGACTTTAGAATGAGTTTTAAGATTAATAATCATCCGCCTGAGGGTCCGCAATTTTATT